CCCACATCTGCCTGCTACCTTTCCTGTCGCTGCCTCCTGCGCCTGAACCCAGAAAGGGGGGGGGGGCTCCCTTGGAGTTCTCTGCCTTGGGTTTTATCTTTCAACTCTGTACAGTTGCTGATTCAGGGTGACCTATGTGTCCAGAGTAGAACTCGGCTCCTTACTGTTTTCTGTGGCTACTCTTTCTGAAACAGGTACTTTCTTTTTGAAGCAGATCTTCGGAGATACCTCCAAGTGTGACCTCAAACACCCCCACCCCCCCTCCCAACCTGCCAGCTGGCAGTGTGGACCCAGGGACTCCCCAGGAGAGAGGGAGCCATGCGTTCCCAGTTTCCCCTTCCACAAATATGAAAGTGATTACATCCTGGCCGGAGCCACTTCCTTCCAGAGAAGAAAGGCGAGTTCAGTCTCCACCCCCTTTTTGTGGCTAGAGGTCAGGGTCTGAAGTAATTAAACCTGAAGCTCTCTTCCTTGCCTGGGGGGGCGTCTCCTCAGAACGTTTATCCCGACATAATGGTTGTTGCTTTTGATTATGCAGTTAGCTCCCCCCCTAGATAGGACTGGTGGTGGGGAGACCCCAGGGTTGGGGTGGGCTTTGAGTGCGCCTGAAAGGATCAGGGCTGTGGTTGTCATTCCTTATCAGTGAGACTGAACAAACCTTTTGTGAAGAGTGTGACAGGCCGAACGCTGATGGAGCTGCTCTGAATATCATCTAAAACCATTCAGACAGATGGAAAGCTCCCCTCTTCCCAACCCCCGAGGCAGGTGGGGAGGCACATGGCAGAATCTGAGGTGCCCGTCTTGGTGACATTTAGCCCCTTTGAGACTTTAGCGAGCACCCAGTGTCACAGAAGCAGCGACTCTGCTCAGGCTAGCACACGGCCTGCTGAGCTAGCTGGCTTGGGCAGAGGAGGGCAATGAGGGCCGTCGGAACTTCTTTCTAGCAAGTACATGGGTGAATGCGAGGGTGGCTGGGTGAAATAAGACTAGTTTCCAGAATGGGTTTTTTCATTTTCTTTAAGCTCAATTTCCATAGCTACAAAACAAGCAAAAAAAGCTGTCTTGCCTTTTCCTGGAATGGCTGTATTTTACTCTGTCCCTAGTAAGAATATATCAGCAAGGATTCCTTTTTTTTTTTTTTTTTAGCATTTTCATGATCTAAATAAGGGAGATCGTCTCTTTGGAAGCTGGTGGTAAATTGATAAGTGGCCAGTGCCCAATCTGAAAGAACACCAAATCCCCGCCCCACTGCAGCTTATTCACCTTCTACCTTCTTCCGAAGCCTCTACTAACCGGAGTCCAGAACCGTAGCTTTCTATTTCTTACCTAAACAGCTTCCTAAACCCAAACCAAACTTGTTGCCATCGGTCCGGGCCAACGCATACGGGGCCCTATAGGACATGGTAGAACTGCCCCTGTGAGTTTCCAAGCCTCTTTCTGGGAGTAGAAAGTCCAGCTTTCTCCTGAAGAGAAAGGACCTTTCAAGCTCGGGACCTTTCGGATCCCAGCCCAATGCTTACGAAAGAGTCTTTGAAATTTTACCATTGTTGTGGTGCTGGTGCTAAGTAAGCCTTATAAACTGGGCTGCTTTTCTGGCAGGCGTGCGCAGAAGGCCTTCCTCATGGACCCCCTGACCCGCCCCCCCCCACCTTCCAGCACCTTAATCCTTCCAAAACAGCAGAAAAGTAGCATGATCAAAAATCCAGTTAATGAGGGTGGTAGAAGGAGGCCGCTGCTAGCTCCATAACTAAACTCTTGGCAAGAGGCTCTGCTCCAGCCTCAAAGCACGGGAAACGCATGGGAGAAGGTGAGATGCCATCCCTGTGTGTATTGAACTGCCTTTCAGCCACTGACAATGGCAAATTCACAGGCCGTTCCCATGCTGTCTAAACTGTATTCATATTGAAATATGACTTCCCCACATCACCAGACCGTTCCAGTTTCTGATCTTACAGTACTCTTGGACTTGACATTATTAATTGTAACTTTGAGCTGGTTTAAAAGGTTCTGACATCACTATAACCATAACTAACAAATGTGGAACGCTAGCAGAGACGTAGCTCTTCCCCAGGGAGCCAACATTTATACTTAGAATATCCCCCTAGCTCATCGAAATCCTGTAATTTGCCAAGTTGTGGACTGGAGTTGGGGAATCGGGCCTGTTAGCTACAGTGAAGGACTGCATTTGGGATGGCTGAGTTGGCATTTGACGAGGGCGCAGAGTGGGCTCTTCCTTTCTGGCTGAAAGGCCCATTCCACATGGCCTCCTTGAGAGCCCACGGGGCTGAATCGCCAGGGCAGGTCTTGCAGGTGAGGAGATCATCCAGGAAACGTGCGGTCTCCGCCCGCCTTCGAACCAGCCCTTTCCTCCTCGCAGGCAGGTGTGAGGCGGCTCACAGATCGAAGACCACTCCCGCTTGGCCTTGGAGGGGAGTAAAGTGCCTCTGTATATGCTCTCCCGGGGTTCGCAAACATTAGACAAAGAGCCAGTCCTGCCCCTCGCAACTGAAACGTGATTTGAGAGCTGCGAGTATTATTTCTACACGCAAATAACATCACCATCATCCTTTAAACAATGGCCAGCACCCTTCAGAGCCACGCATACAAACCCAAGGCGCCGCAGGTGGCTTTGGGCCGTTGCCGACCCCTGTTCTACACTTGGGTCTTACGACGTGCGGATGGAAACGTCTCCAAGAGGGATGCAGTGTTCTGTATTGCTGGGAACGTGATCGACTCTGCTGGAAGACAGAGTTTCAAACGAGTCTATCGTGAGGCGACTTTACATTGGCCCCCTGACACGTTGGTTTTTTGGCATGGGTGGGGCCGTCTTTTGAGACTAGCACATTCTCCAAAATGACCAGACGTGTGCCCACCAGTTCTAGGGCCAGGGCTTTAGCCCGGTCAGAGGGGCAATGAACACAAACTTCAGAGGCAGAGAGGAGTGGGAAGGGGTGTGGAGAGGACGGCAAAGGGCTTCGCCACAAGGAGGGAACGGGTGCTAGCTGCCACCTGCGGGGGCTCCCTGGCTGCCACCTCCCGAGGGTACTCTGCCATGCCCTCATCACAGTGGTCTGTGGTGAGAAAGCTCAGATGTGTGATGTGAGGCTCTGGGGGCATGGCCGGGGGCCTGTCGGGTGAGGCGGTGCATGTTCCTGTACCACGTCAGTCTTGGGTATCACATGCCTAGTGTCACCTCGCCCTGGAGGGTCATTTCTGGGGAGAAATGACCGGATTGTTCTTGTACTGGTACTGTGGGGTGCCAGCACGCGCATTCATGTGGGGCGGGCGGGGTGCGGAGGTGGGACCTAACACCGTGGATTGTGAACCCCTTTCTGCAGCAGTGGAAACCGGCAGCGTTGGGAAACCGGCAGCCTCTGACCGCAGCTGGCACCTCTGGTTTGCACAGTACTGGCCGAGAGTGTGGGTGAGTTGCCCAGTCATGCCAGATTTCCAGTCAGGAGACTGGGCAGCCCAGGTCGTGAGTTTCTGTGGTTGCCCGATTGTCTAGAGCTGAGTGTGGGTCCCCTTTCAAAGAGGGCATCCTGTTCTCTAGTTCACTGCCATCGCCACCATTTTCCTAGCCCCTCTGGCACCCGATCCGCATTAGTCATGAATGGAACCTGCCTGGCTTCTCTGACGTGTACCCTTAGGAAGCTGTGAATAATACTTAGCAATAAAGCTTAAAGACTTCTTGACGTCAGTGCTCGTGGGGAGGGACTCAGAAAGGATGCAGAGGGCAGAGCTCTGGGGGCTGCCTCACCGCCAGGACTGGGGGCCGAGGCGGGGCATGCTTCTCCAGCTCCCTGTGCACGGCTGGCCCTGGGGTGCAGACTGAAAGCCTAGCTGAAACCAGAGTGGTCTGCTGGGTGCCGGCCATCCCCAGGAGGTTTTTATTTGCTGCCGAGCTGCACGAATGAGGCTGATTTTTGAACTTGCCAAAATCATCAGAAGAAAGCAACTGTCTTGGGTGGGCTTGCAAAAAACAAAACAAAAACAAAAAAAGGTCCAGTATTAGAAAGTGGGGTTTGGCAGAGTTGAGACTGATCTGGTGCAGTTAAGAAACTTGCCCTGGTTCTCAACTGTTGGGGACACAGCCCCTTTTGGATCACAGCTTGGCGTATCTTCCTGCGCTTGTGTCTGCCTAGTGACGAGTCACACACGTGGTCTGGCAAGGAAAGGAAGGTCATTTAAGGGGTGCTGAGGGCAACAGGATTTTTAAACACTTCTGATTACCTAAGAAACTCCATCTTTGGGGCCTACATATTATATTTTAGAAACTTCTACCGATTGACAATTGCTCGCTAGACGCAGGTTCGTGGTTCTGGCCTGCAGCCATTGTCCCACAAGCTGTCATTTGATGCGAACTTGTTTACCAGGAGACTTCTCTCTTGTCCTTCAGCCTATCTGCTAATTTTTCTGAGGTTTAAGATAGGACGATTCCTTAAAATATCTTCCTCCTCCAACCACCCCCGCCCCCCACCCCAGACATTTGAAAACACAATGGTCATGACAGAAAGAATAGCCGGCGCCAGGCTGATTCCATGTAAGAACTTTTCCAGCGGCTCTGTGTCTCTACCCTAGTGCAGAAGGTGCATTGAAGACATGCGTCAAACCCTTGTTTAAAAGTGGCATAGCCCTTTGTTTGGCAAACAGGAGTTGTTTAGAACATAAACACTTCCTGCCTGTTAAAGTACTTTAAAAAATAAGCTACAATGTATAAAAACCAAGGTCACCCCCCCCCCAAATGTTCATGTCCTTTGTAATTACAAAACACTGCATCTTGTAAAATATTTCCAGTTCTGTTAACTTGAGAAGTACTAATGCTTATTATAAAATCATCATGTGTCTTAAAACTGTGGGAGCCTAAGCAACATCTCTCTTGTTTTGCTCGAAGACTTAACTTATCATTATTACATCTTAAAACAACAGATTACCAGTAGGATTCTCAGACCCACAACAAAAGAGTTAAAAAAACAAACAAACCACACAAACATATGCGATTGTCTTCCAAACAGGGAACTATTTACAGAGCAAGACCAGAAGTAAAACCCCCATTTTTGAGTGCGGGTCCTGTGACAGATGCATCTTGTCAAGCAGGTGTGTACATAGCCTTGGACAGGGGCTCCGCCAGAGTCACAAGCAGCAAACCGGTCCGTCGCCAACAGATTTTCTCCTTTCATGCCCTGCTGGTGCACGTTACTTAGGGACACCATTGGTACGAAAAGTGTCGATCTCACACGCCGATTTAGGCTTTTGGCTAGTTGCAACGCTGAAAGATGCATGATTCTCCCGTAAAGTCCCCAGATGAGAGGAACTTGGGGGGCAGGGGGAGTGTATGCCACTGCTAGTGTTACTTTCTTACAGAGAGGCCCTTTCCAGGTGTCCCCTCTGGCTGGCACCCTCGCCTGCACTCGTGAATCCGTGGTCTCCACGCAGCGGCATGCCCCATGCTCCTCTGCCACCACCAGGTCAGTGCTACGGCACACGTGGCTGAGAGCTCCCAGCATTGCGAGCTCCCAGCATTGCAAGAAGAAAACAAAGCACCTGTCCCCCAGAGTCCACGGGAGCTTGCTCTGTGACCGGCGATGGAAGCCCAGGTCACCATTGTAACAGCTTTTGCCCACAGCGCTCTGCTTGCAGCTACCAGACGGCCCTCTGTGTGGTTGAGGAAGGTTGTGGGCGAGCCTTTGTTCTCACAACTACATGGGGAACAAAGCCTTCGTGGAGTCCACGAACGACCCACCAGGGGCTGTGGCTGTGGCTCAAATCTCCGCCTTGGACCTCAGATCAATTGCTACAGAGAATCGGCTCCGTGCACAGGGTACCCCCGTGGCCCGGGGGAGTGGCTGTGGTCCGTTTCATGGAAATCTGTCTCGAAAGTACATCGGGTGCATTTAGGAAAATTGCTGACTAGAAAAGACTAAAGATCAAATTCATCTTTGTTTTAGGACCCTCCAGACCCATTTTTCACAAACCCTTGGATTTTCTTTTCCCTGAGGAAATGACCATTTCCAGTATTTTGCTACTTTTCTCAAGGCATTCTCTACTCCATCTACAATCCATGTCGCCTTTGAGGGAGTGCTGCTGTGCTTTCAGTTTGCAATACAGTCTGATGCAGGAGGGCTGGGACGGGCTGGGGGTCAGTGGATTCAGCAGAACCGACCTACTGAGAACCGGGGGCAGCTTTCCACAGTGGACGGCCTAGAGGGCGGGCGGACTGAAGTTCTCTCGAGCTTGACCCTGGACAGAGACCACGTCAACGACAGAGGTCTTTTTTGCATCAGCTATGGGACGACTTCTTTGAAAACGATGGGGAAAGCCCAAGAACTGCAACATGCACCATTCTCCATAGAAAGTTGTCATTGGCCACGTGGACACGACGGGACGTGGAATTCGCTTATAAAGGGGGCACCCTGGGCGTCTCCCGGAGCTGCTGGCAGGCACTTCACAGCTGGGCACTTCCGGTCCTGGTCAGGATCCCACTCCCCGCTTCTGACAGTGGTTGCTGCCATCCAAGGGTGGAAGGTCTGCAGCCATGGGGGACAGGTGGAGAAGCCTGTGTCCACTAGAGGTGTTGCATGGGCAGACGGGCGGCCTGGCCACAGCTGCTTCCTGTAGGTGGCGCTCTTCTTGTTTCAGGCAGCTGTTCCCAGAGCCTCTGGTTAGCCAGCACCAAGGGGATGAGCAGAAGCCGGGCACCTTGAGCCTCTCATCTAGCTCGCTGGCCTCTGGACTGCTTTGCTCCCTGAATATTCTCTTCATGCTGCCACTCTTGCCCGGCTCCACTCAAGTAGGCGCAGTGTTCTCTGGGAAGGACTCGTGCTTACCACCACTGCCGGCTGAACAGTCCATTGTGAAAAAGTTGCAGGTATCTGGAGAATGCCTTGCTGGTAGAAAATGCCTTCTTTGGAGAGAGAGGAGGAACCTTCTCTGATGGGACAGGCTATCCAAGGAGAGAAAAATACAAACCCTCAAAACAAATAACCAGAAAGCTATCCCACGCCTGATGGAGAAGCCTTTGGGGACCAGAACCAAATCCATTGCAGGACCACGTCGTCTGTGCCAACAGACCTCAGAGACCATAGCTTGTAGGGAGACCTCCCTTGCTACCCCACCCATTGAAGATCTAAAAAGAACTTGGTCCACTGAGATGGCATAAAGTAGACATCTGACTTAATTTGGCACTTCATGTTGTTCCCAGATATAACAAACTAATGCTGCTTAATTTTTTTAAAATTTAGTTTTTACAACCAGCAACTGGGTATTGCAATTCATAGCTTTCTGGTTGCTTTGAAGAGGTCAGCCAGGCCAGGCGTGGTGGTCCCCTAGTGCTTACAAGCCTTGGTATTGTGCATGGATGTCTATGGGTGCAGGGGGGTGCTGGAAGTCAGCCTCTGTCTGCACGCGAGAAACAGGAAGCAGCGTATATATAGAGCCCTAGGCTGTACCTGCCTGGCTAGCAAGAGAGAGCTGGTGCAGGCAGAGATGCAGAAGGGGGAATGTATGACAAAGGCTTTAAGGGGAACACATCACAGAAAATGCTTTATGCTTTTGCTTACACCTGTGCATGTGCTAGAAACCAGGGCAGGGCTGAACTCGAATCATCTAGGACTGAGCTCAAAAGTATTTAGGAAATATAGCTTGGGAGAACTATCCATGCAGCTTTGCTCCTAGGACTGACCCACACCAAAGAGCTCTCCCGCCTGTGTGGCACAGTTATGTGAAGGTGGTAAGGATTTGGCCCTCATCACTTTGAAATCTTGTTAAGTGACTTATTCCAAGAAGGTAAACCTCTTCTCTAGGCTCACACCTTGTCTACCATGGAAGTATCTGGTGAACTAGCTCAAGCAGGTGGCCATTAGGCCATCACCCCATAGCTCAGGTCAGGAGCGGGTGTTTACAATGAGATGACAGGACACTAACGGATGAGAAAGGGCAGAGGAAGGCACCCGGTGGGTCCCTCCTTTCTGCATTTTAAAATGCCCTTTTGTGGCTGACCTTGTAAATACTAAAACATGTAGTAGAGCTGGTGCTGTGGCCACTGATTGGTAATCATGATGTGAAATAAGATGAAGCTCTTTTTCTGGTCTCTAGAAATAAATGGTTTAGAAAAATAAATGGAGAAAGAAAATAGGATCTTTATCAAGGAACAGTAAAAAGTCGTGAGAGTTTAAAAAAAGACTGCCAACAGATATGAATGTACAAACGGTGGATGTTACACTATAGAACCTCATCTTAAAAAAGGACATATGTTATTAGATGATTTCTCTCCACTCTTAAAAAAATGTATGTGCAATCTTAAACATATATTAAACTTTGCTCTGTGCAAGTTCATTTAACATTCCTATGTCTGATCCTATGTCCCCAATTCCTACACAGTGCGTCCTATAAGGTGCTCTTACTGCTTTGCATAGGTACAGGAGGAATCTCTCTAGCAGGGTAATGAAGAGTAGAGAATGCGCTTATTTATAGGGCTCACCTAATACTGTCCTATCTCCTCCTCACTGTTGCTTAAAACCAACCAACCAAACCAACCAGCCAGCCAACCAACCACGCTAAGCTTACAAAGGTTAGAAAAGGGGACCTGATGCAAACTCTGGCCTTAACTAAATCGAGAGACTCCTGTACCAGCAAGCATTTTTCTTTTGGTGTTCTGTGAATATCCCATCTGAGCTAATTCACAATAAATAGTTCCCATATTTCATAAGAAAATAAAGGTTGGATCAACCCTTTACCCATATGTTTCTATGGTCCATCGACCCATCTCCCAGACACGCTAAAGCATAAAACCTATACAAAGTGCACTCCGAAGGGAAGCTGGTTTGTTGACCTCACGTGACTCTCCACATAGCTGGGGACAGGGATGGAGCCTGGGCTCTGCTGTTTAGTGGCAACTTGCTGGAATCATTTGGAGTTCTTGACCCTTTCTGAAGTCAGCCAGTGGTGGACTTTTGACTATTCACCTGGCAACCACTTGACAAGCGGTGGCGAACAGGTCGGAGCTCCGGTCTGCATCACATCCCTGAAAGAAAGCAGCAAGGCTTACCCAGCCCTTGACTAAGCGGCGGCAGGCAGTCTGCCGGGCTGCCTCTTGGGGACACCACACCGAGATGTTTCTCAATCGTGACGGCTGCCTTTCTGAGCTCGGCTTGAGGCTGAAGTCTGCTGGTGATTCCCGTCGCTCAGCTCCGTTTGAACCCATGCCATTCTGGGCCCCCAGGCTGACAGTCTTCCCATGGTTCAGTTTTGGGCCTGTAGTTCTGGAAACCCAGGGTGCTGCGTGGTCCTGTAACCCATCGTGATGAGAACGGTTCCAGAAATTCAAATGGAAAACAGGACAGCAACTATTCACAAGCAAAGTAGGCATCGTCCTTTGTACAAATGTTACCGAGTACCGTCTCGCTTAGGTGGTTTTTTTTTTTTTGGTCTTTTTTTTTTTAATGTCAAAAAATTGCCAGGAGCGGCATTATTCAGAAAGCTTATCAAAACTCCCCTCCTCAGTAGGTGAAAAAACAAACACACACCAAGGCTCTGTTTGTTCAATTGCTGCAGAAGTTTACAGTTTTCAGACCTAGATGTACAGCAAGAAAAAGCTTGGCTGTCGGCGGGTCTAGGTTGGTATCTCCATCAGAAGAATGAGAGTGGTGACTTCAGGGTTTTTGTCTTTTTTTTGCTGTAATTCCACCAAGTTCAGTGGAGGTGCATTTCCTGGGCTTGGAGCGCATTTTGTAAGGGAGGAAAAGCGCTGTTGAAAACCTGCCTTGGAAGGAGAGGGCATGGCGGCTGGGTCTGTGCGCAGCGGCCCCCAGGCCGGGTGGGTGGCGTCTGTCAATCAGTGAACCTCTGGCAGGCCTTCTTCCAGCGGCAGGCGGTGCACCACATGTCTCGGTTCTCCATGCCATACACCTTCCGGCACTTTTTGCCCTCTCCCCTGGGCTTTCTGAAAGACAAAGAATGTTGATGTAGCGGGAGGAGCTCGCCAGCCATCCCAGAGAGCTCAGCATCTCCGAAACAGGGAGTGTCATGAAAGCTCTCTCTAGCTTCGGGCTCAGCTGTACTGAGTGTTTTCCGGCCACTATATTTAAGCATCTGTTTGTCCGGAGAGGACAAGTTCGCTTGGCCGCCTTCATAAAACGGAATTAAAGAACTCAGTAAGAGTAATGCTAGCAGAGGGCCAATGGAGTATGTCCTTCCCAAGAGCTGCCTGGCCTCTCCGTTTTCTAGAGCTCCGGAGAAGGGACTTCTAAAGAACTTGACCTACGCTACAACCCAATCTTCTCGTTCGTTCCTACACGAGTCGGTACAACTTGGCTTGAGTTTGGACCCTGTGAACACCTCCTGTCGCCATGAGTCATCACTGACTCCATGGCCTCTTCTGCAAGAAAATATACTGTACACTGTAATCTCTCCAAACGCATGCGTTAATAGTTATTAAGTTTATCCTGCAGGAACACGTCCGGTAGGAACCCTCATTCATTGCTTTGGGAAATGTAATAAGGCGCAGGCGCTGTGGAAAACAGTTCAGGGGTTCCTTACTGAGCTAACCCTAGCATAGAAGCTCGCAGCCCCACTGCGAAGTACCCAGAAGCCTTGAAAACAAGAAGCACCCAAACGCCTGCTGCCCACCACTGCTCACTGGAGCATTTCTGTAAGAACCAAGGGGTGGGACTAGCCCAACCTGTCCACCCACAGGTAAATGGGTAAACAAAATGTAGGACAAGTGTGTGGGGGTGGGGGTGGATGGGGGGTTTGAAACACTCATGGAAACAGAATTAAAGGATAATGTTTTCAGGAACTTTTTGAACCTGCCCC